GGGGGGGGGGGGGGGGGGGGGGGGGGGGGGGGGGGGGGGGGGGGGGGGGGGGGGGGGTTCTCATGTTTTTGTGGTATGCCTCAGCTATCAGACGATTGGCCACGCGTCCTCGAGGACGGAGGGGGGATATTTGTGTTTTTCGATCCTGCTGACACGGATGCCTTGTTGCTGGTCAGCCGCTGCACGCTTGATGCGGCGGATTGTGCGAAATGATGAAAAAGCTCGTGGTAGATATCTCTAGGACGAGAAGGCGTCCTTTGATGCATACTAATTTACTTTTGTTCGCCATCAGGCTGGCGTGAGCAGGCTGTTGGCGCAGTCGATGCTTGCAGTTTTTCGAAGATTTTTTTGAAACATGCACGCAAGGACGGTTGCTGTCCAACTTACAGTAGTAGCTCGCTTCTACACTGCACGTATTCGCCTCGAACTTCTGCACCTGTCAACTCAACCTAGTTGTCTCTTCTGTCCACCGAGGCAGTTATGCGTAACCCTGGAGTGCCTCAAACGGGGCTCTAGGCGACCATCTATATCGCTGAACTCCTCGAAGCTATGGAGCCGATTTTTCGGGCTTGATCTTGCGTATTTTGCGGCGCAATGCCAACCTGGTGGACGATAACACGACACGCCCTGTCACGCCATCAGGGCTACGATGTCTTCACTCTTCCCACCGCGACGGTACCGAAAACCCCCACCTCTCCCCCCCGGTGTTTGCCATCGGGATTGGGTTTTCGTCGCTTTGGCAACGACGTTGTAATACAAGCCGCGCCATCCGGTGTTTGCCATCGGGATTGGGTTTTCGTCGCTTGGCCACGACGTTATAGAACAATCCAATTCACTTCGTGAACTCGGCAACCAGTTACCGTTTTCTTTTTTTTGCCTCCGTTTTTTTTTGGCGGTAACCATAATGGTGGTCGAGTAGATCATGTTGTGCGGGGTGGAGAACCCTCACTCCGCGCAAGGGGGATGATCGCACCACGTTGTGTTAAAATGGTCAAGCACCCTCGAGGCAGTTACACAGTGCTTACAACTGTCTCTGGAAGTGAAAGCACCAGAAAATAAATTAAGTCATACGCAGCTGTCATCCGTACGCAAGGAAGTAAGCACAAGATGCCGAAAACCCTTAGCAGGATGCAGCGCACCCTTCATGCAACTCGCCGAATATCTCACGGCGCTTCGCGCTTGGTGATGTGAGAGCCTGGTCCGGTGAGAACCCGGCGTGCTCCGTCCCGGCTTTGAAGGGATGCGAGGTCAATGGTCTAACGACTACGGCACGCACGACTATGAGTACCCCCCCCCCTCCTGTCTCTTTTTATTTTTTGGTGCCCCCCCCCGTCTGCAGGTTTCTGTTCGAATTCCTCCGCAAAGTGGCCATGCACAGCTCCACCAATCGGATGACTTCTGAGAACCTAGCCATTGTTTGGGCCCCGAACCTGCTCCGTCCCCAGGTGTGTCAGTCCGTCCATCCTTCTGTTTCGGTCTTGTTGCATCCAGCCATGACCGCACCACATATTTGCATATTTGTAGGAGTTCGTCAAGCGTGTAGGCTAGAGACTGACTCTGTTTTGGCGTCCAGCCGCTGAACTAGGCCACCGAGAGCACCACCGCCACGTGGTGCGAAAGATGATTGTCAGTTTTCCAGGCAAGATAACAACTCGAGAATCAAGCCTTTTTTGTTTATCTGTTGTTTTGTGTCTTGTGCTGTACTTGGTTGAAAGTGGGCGGATTGTGTGTTGGCTTTCGTCTCCTTTGGGGGAACGTCGAGTTTTGAGTCGAGTCTTCACGAACGTCGTGCAGGGGTTTGACAAAGCGGAACGCACAGCAGCACATCAAACCAGGGCACACGGTACCCCTGAAATCAAAGAAAGCCATACGCTGCCCCCCTACGTGTCGAAGTGTCCTTTGGGCGCGACCACCGCTGTCCCACACCCACACCCACACCGCATGTTCAGCGAATATGCTTGAAATATGTCCCGACTTCGTTCCTGATACGAGGGTCACCTATGTTGCTCCGATGGATTTGGCCATGGTCGAACAACCCCTATTTTTTCTGTGTATCTTTTTTTTTGTTGCAGGACGACCATCCGTTCGCGGTTCTCAGAGACCTTCGGTTTCAGATCGAGACGGTGCGTTGGATGGTCGATTGCTGCGATCAGCTGTTCGACGGCTGACGGTTGATTGCTGGAGCTGATGTTGCAGGGTACAAGTATTCCTTGGTGCTGCCGGCACGGGTGGTTACTTTTGGTTGTTTTGTTGTGACGTGGTTTGACGCCACTGAGGGTTGAGGGTTGAGGGTTGAGGGTTGAGGGTTGACGGTTGAGGGTTGACGGTTGAGGGTTGATGTTGTTGGGGGGTGAGACTTGAGTTGACCCAACCAGCTACAGGTACAAGTACATGTCTTTGTCCCGTGCAACCTTTCGTTATGTTTTCCTCCCCTATTTCACTTTTCCTTTTCCGGTGGATGGGTTGGAAGATCGTAAGGTCACGATAGCGCTAACCCTTTACGTAGTGACCCACCCCCGGTACCATAGCGTGCGTTCCCAAGATCCAAGGGACTAAAGGAAATGGGAATGATAGTAGGGAGGCTGGCCGATAGCGCCAAGCTTCCCCCCCCTCCTCCACAGAGAACGGACGGTTTATTCACTTCACTGAGAGAAAGCTACACGCTATTTAGTCGTCCATGCAAAATTTGGGCCACAAAAGTAAGATTGTCATAATAGAGTGTTTTGATCTGGCAGGATGCCAAAGAGCGGCACGAACGATAGTAGTGTGGGCGAGCGGGAGGGCTAAGGGTGAAGGGGGAAGAGAAAGTAAGGTGTGATGTGATCCCCCGCCAAGATATGGCACAAGGTGAAAGTACGTCGGGCCTATTGGCAGCACATTTATTATCACCTTACGTCATCACAAGTGATACAGACAGTGGATTGTAACGAGGGTTTATAGGTCTTAGAAGCTCGGTACGTCAACTTTTTTGCGGTCTCTTGCTTTTCTAATATAGAAAAGGTATGCTGGCATTTTGTGCAGCCCGGCAGTACTGTCGCACGGCGTAGAGAATGGTTGTGACGTCTGTGCAGGGCTGCTCTGTGCAACGGTTCACCCCGTGCACAATCATGGAAGTGCCCTCCCGTTTCCTTCTGTGAGCTGGAAAAGTCGGCAAGAGTCAGCCCGGGTTTCCATGATTGTGCTTCATTAAATGGTATGCATCCCAAGTACGCGACGAGGACAAAAGTAGCAAGAGTTGCGTTCCTCCTTTCCGTCGTGCAGGCAGGGCAGGGAAGAGTTGCGTGGTGCATTCGGGGAAGGAAATACATGCGTCGAAGGCGAGGATTGAAATTGATTTGTAGCGAGGTGTTGGTAACGAGGCGGTTGGGTGTGATGGTTGCTCGTGTTTGACATCTCTGAAGGTGGCAAGTTTCTGTCCCTTTGCTGGACTACAGGAGCCGAGCTTAACCGCCTGGTGGCACATAGCACTGTCATGGGGGTAGATGATTGTAGACCTGGCCTGGGTGGGTGGCAAAGGCCCTTCCAAATCTGTGATATCTGTGATATTGGAAAGGTCGAATGTCGGTAATGGCTGTTTTTTGTGCGTTTTCTACATACCGTTGCGCCCTTTGTGATTGGCATCTGTTCTATTTTTTCATTTCTCGTGTTTATTACAAATGTTCATGTCGCCGTTGCGTCTGTGTCAAAAGAGAGCTTGTGTCTTGTTCTTTTCCAAGTTCTGTTCTCGTCTTTTTAGATGCTGTCTTTATGATTTTTGTTGGATTTTGTTCCTGCGTTGCCACAAGGTTTTGTCGTCCTTGCTGTATCGGTACTTGGCTTTTGCTTCCGCCTTATTCGTGTGTGTTTTCAGTTTGTATGAATCCTTCTTGGTGCTTTCACGTAATAAGTGCAGAAGCTTTGATGAAGGATGGTGCATGTGTATAGGTAGGTAGGTATGATTATGTCTGGTTACATTCTATCTTGTTACGTTGGCTTGACTTGTGCTGGGCGAACTGTACGCGCCTGCAGTTGGCAGTATGCGGAAAAACAGGGGTAGAGAGAGCGGTATGTTGGCCTCTTTTTGTGTGTATCGTGTGCAGTGAAGAAGTTGTTGCCAGCGGTATGAGACGGGTTCGTAGAGATGAGAAATACACCGGTAACAAGCTCCGGGTCGGTTTACTTTTTTATGACGGCGGTCGCTTGTCAGTGTCTTGTATGGAGTGGCAGTTACATGTCTTGCCTTTTTTTATTCTCTTTGTTGGTGTGCATGTTGTTGTTGGTGTAGCGTGCCGCTGGTGTATCTGTATATCGCTTCCTTCCCCGGAACGTGCTTACCCAAGGACGGTTACGTTTACGACGCGATATTAAATATCGCAAATGTGAAGCTGAAGATATTGAATGAATGTACTTACGCAATCATGGAAATCGATGTGGCGATTGATGCGCTTGGGGGATGGCGGGTACATCTAGACATGAAGCTGCTGCTATAGAGCTGCTGCGGTGCTATATGATATTTGGCTTGCTTGGGTGCGCGTGCCACTGGCTGGCCATTTTTGCAGTAGAGGGTTGTTGCGTAGTTGAGTTGGCTTTGGCCTGTTGTTTTTTTGCAGAGCCCTTGTTTTAGCTATCTGTGTCGCGTTCGCCGTGCTTTGTTCTTTGTTGCTCAGGTTTGTATGTGTTGGATGTGGGACAGGGTTAGGCGTAACCCGCTCAGGTTATATCCGGTGTGACGCTACAACACTTGTGTTTTTCATGCTGCACTGCGGCGGGGGCAGGTTCTTGTGCACAAACAACACCGGCGTATCACCGACAATTTTATGCACCGACAAGCTGTTGTCGTTCGCGGTCGTCTTGAGGCAGCGTCAGGTGGACGGATGGTGGGTGGCTCGGTAATTTCGGCGGCCGCCATGTGTGCGACATCGTCGGCACACGTGGCAAGCCGTGACCGCTAGTCTCGCGGTTCCAGGGCAAAAGATTGCGTTTGTCTTCATGCCAATTGGTGGGCCTCCGGCGGCCGTCCGTTGCCGAGGTGTATCTGTGGTGCTGTTTCGTGTACCTGGTACTCTATTTTCTCCCGTGAGTGTAACGCTTCTCTGGGTAGCGCTGTTTGTAACGGTAATATTGTCACCTTTTAGCTCTGTGTGTGCTCTGCGCCTTCCCTGCTGTTCTGCCGCAGTGAGGGCTCGAGGGAACTGCGTGCGTCTAGTACTACTGTAGTTTTTTGAATAGTCCTGCCTGGTGATATCTTGCTTATATTATAGTACGTGTTGTACCCTCTCTTGCTCTCCCTGATTGAATCTGGATTGCACAGATGCAAGGAGTGAACACTGATTGATCACGTTGTGTCGTAATCTATTCGTCTTTTCTTTTTTCCCAGTGAGCGACACTGCCCAACCTTACAACAGAAATCTTCTATGGGTTAAGTCAGTAGTTTCGTGGGTTTTCGATTGTAGGGGGCTGACGAGTCTAACACGGCACCTCTCTCTGCTTTCCTACGGCTGTGGCATGGAACATCCTGTGGACCCAGAAAGAATAGCCGCAATGAAACAACGTGGACACGGATGTACTCTTCATCCATCTATCTGTGCTCGATGTACGCTTCGCGACCGGCTAACCCTGTTCTTCCGCGGGAGACTCCATTGCCTTGGTGTTTTGCGAGACATCGACATCTGCAGTGGTATTGTGAAGGGTGCCTGATTGGTTGCCGCCCGCGCGCCTTGTTTCTTTACCGATGGGATTTACCCGAGCAGGGAAGAGAAAGAAAAAATTGTGAGATTAATGCGTATCCACCTCACATCGTCGTAGCCGACCCTCTGGAAAGGTCACGATGTCAAGGCGAGAGAGAAAGGCACGTCTCTAACCGGGGGCTCCACAGTCGAGTCCGAACCTATCTACATGCAATATCTGCATAGCAAGACAAGGCCATGTGTCGATGAACACAGCCAAACAACAACGCCATGTGTCGATGAACACAGCCAAACAACAACGCGACCATCGGAGCGGCGAGAAAATCTATCGCAACAGGGCCGAGGCCCATAGACTTTTCACTAGAGGGTTGTCGTGATGCATGCTGCGGAGAATGCGACAACCGAGGAATCCGTCGGTATCATGCCGTGTCCGGGCAAAGCGTGTGAAGACACCGACAGAGTAGCTTGGGGAGAACTTTCACTAGCACAGGGTCCAACACCTCAATACCGCACCGACCCCACGTGTGGGAAGCACTGCATCTGGTTGGAGTGGCTCTATGCATGCCATCCGCCTAATATTGTTGTCAGAGGACGCGCACGCCTTTTCAGGTTGTCAATGTCCCAACTGTCCCCCCGACCACGCGTTCAAAAATCACTGGAAGTGCAACGAATTCACTCGAGGTATGACAAGTACAGAATGCCGGTCAATTTTTTGCATTTGCATGCAATGGAGGAATCACTTGCTGCTGCTGCGGCAGCATCCTGGAGGTGCAGGCAGGTCTTACGAAGAGCGGTGGCACCTGTATGCCGCGCGGGTGAAAAACGACGACGTGTTGGCTTCTCCCACCGACCGAAAAAAAACAGTTAGCGCCCGTGCATAAGCACTTGGAGTGAGGAAGTTGATATGCGATTGGCGCAGTACCTGTACTTCATACCTGACCTTGCGTCGGGGTAAACACGCCCGCTGAGTGGGCATTGCCAGGCATATATGTGATTCGAAGGTATAGAGCCGACTGCTGTCCTTCGAATTGAGTGACTATCTGACTGGTCTTGTTCGGCCCTCCCACCCTTTCCCATTTCCCTGCGCCAGGCCGAGAATCACGTAGGCTACTGTCTTTCTCCCATTCTCTATCCAATCACCCACTGGTCTAGTCTACACAGACAGATTCACGCAGTACGCGCCACGATTGTAGAACATTTTCTGTAGGGAATGCATGGTCACCCCAACAGTGACAGTGCAGGTATGAGAGTAGGATTCATAATAACTGAGCACCTACCTGCGCTTGATGTAGACTTCTTCAACCTGCGGCGCGTACTACAGGTATCGTCCACATACGACGGCACGCCAATAGGGTTGAATTACACGCACGCAACACTCTCCACTCTCACACCAACGAACGGATTCATTCACTGCTTTGTGCGCCGATCTTCAATGACAGGAGACCACACCACGCCGACCCGATAATTTGGCGAAATCATGAACAACGCAGATAAATATGCATTTCATGTAGACGACAAGATCTGCTGCACTAAAAACGGCCTGAATTCATATACCGGTCGTGGTGGCCAAGTTCACCCACGACCAAAGACAATGGTTGTCGTTGTTCGGGGCAGCAAAAATATTGCTTTATGGAACGAGGCAATCCCAGCGCCAACATGAAAAGTTTATACTACTGCTGTCTGGACTAAAAAGTATTTCAGAGGCAGAACGTGAACAAACCAAAGGAGGACCGAAAAGGTGCGAAAATGATACATACATACAGAAGACTGCCACATTGACTGTTGTCAACCGGCAATAGCGACTACCGGCCTACGAGCACATCCGCGCCTTTTGCCACTCCGGGGAAACCCTCAACGGCCCCAAACGGTACTGAACCCACACGTACTCTAGTTACGTGCACGCCGGTGTGTGCTTGCATGTCACACAAACGACTGTGAAAAATGTTCCACAATACATTCGACAATGTCAGGACACGAGGTCATAAGCTTCCACCTAGCTACATATAGGTGGGTAGCTGCTTGGCTACGCAGACTACGCCTCCTACATCCAAGAAGTCACGACGGTTCTTGGCCACCAGAGCACTCCAAGGAATAGGCACTGTTCTCTTCGTCTCCGTCCTCGTAGTCTAAGTCACCCTTCTCTTCGTCTGATTTGTCGTCCTTCTCATCGCCGTCTCTCATAGAACCGGCGGCAGTCTTGATTTATTATGTTCAGGACAATACAGGCAGTGGTGATCATCACGATCGAGGGAGCACGTGAGGGGGGCGGAACGAATGGGACACGCCGACCCAGCGTGGTTCAGAAAAATATTGCTTGTGTCAACGGGTGTAGAGCGAGGGTCTGCATGATCAAAGATTGTCTGACGACTGGCTGTGCAGCCTACGGGGGCCGACGGCTGCTCCTAGAAAATTAGACTATTGCGCAGAGAATGTGAAGCGCACAATGTAGTAGTTGCGTGGTACTTATGACATCGTGCTATTGCAGATTGGTCTAGATAATCTAAATGCTTGCCCCTTTCCGTATTCACTGTTTATCGCCAACGCAATCATGTGCACTCACGTTTGGACGTGTGCCCGACATGGTACATGCCACGCCTCTTCACATTCACATTTGAGCGTACATAGTATGTAGCGCGTGACATTAGGTACAGCACGGTACTGTAAATAGTACAATGCACGCGGGGCTCGGAACTGTTGCCGGTTGAAGTGTATCGGGTATTCAGAGCATGAACTCACCGATGCAGATGGGGCGCCATTTGCACCCACCCTGATGGACTCGAGTAGTGAAGACAAGGACTCTAACTGCCGGTACAATATCTTCTCGTTCCTGTACGCATTCATCACCTCGGCCTGTAAACGGAAATCAATCGATAATGAACGTCCTCCCATGAGGCGTCACAGCGTCGCAGGCAAGGCGACAAATCAGTTCCTGGGCAAAACATTGAACAACAGCCATCCACCTCGACATGCTGTTGTCCTATAGTACATGCCGAATCCTTGTTGATGCCCACAACAATTCGAATGTACGTTGCAGTATTACTGTAGTCTAGTCTAGATACGTGCCTGCCTGTCCAACACCTCCCCCAGCATGTCTTCCATCATCTCGTCCTTGTACCTCTGCGTTGTGCTTGTCTTCGCCATTTCCTTCTTCATTCTCTGAGTGAGTTCCCGGGTGAAGTAGTGGAATATTGCGTGGGGATGAAGGGGGGATGAATGAATAATGTTTTGGCCGATGACAGACACCTTGTAACTGGGGGGTACCCAAGGTGGGAAGTGAAACTATCCGAATTTCCAACGACCGTACAAAAGTACTTTGAATTTTCCGAAAGTACAATGATGCCATTAAGAGTCGATAAAGAAAGCAGAGTCTTGCACAAGGATAATGCCAGGAGGCTCGGCAACTTAGACCATTTCTATTGCAGATCTACAGTAGTAGTCTCAGGTCTAAATCTCATAGGCTACAACATACATCTGTATCTCACCTTACTCTGAAGATCCAATAGACCTCGCAAACCCGCAGAGTAGGTTTCGACACTCTCAATGTATGCCGGACTAGTGCAATATTGGGCGTTCTACTGACAGAGGAGATGCAGGAGATGCGAAGGCGCAAGGGTGGTTATCATGAGAGGGGGGCAATGTACGCACTCCATATTATTTCGTGGGTTTCTTGGTCCGTGAGCCGTACCGTCTAAAGTAATGTCTGTCTGTGTGCTGCAACCCAGAATTTGCTGACGCCAGACATGGTTGTCCATTTTGCAGCCTATGCCAAGTGCCACAGGAGGAATGAAACGACAACATTGCAATGGGTAGAGGGCAGTTGACCTTTCAAAACACTCCGGGCATCTTGCGTCTCGGCTCTGCTTTCATGGTAGTACCGGAGACTCGACAAAAACTTAATGAACCTCTGTAGGCCACGTCCCACGAAAGTTTCTTTTCCCGTCACAATATATCAATCATCACTCACAACACAAAATGTATATTGACGGGTACGAGCTCTCATCCGTGGTCACTCAGAAGGGTTGTCCCCCCTGAGGCCACCCGACAACCAGCCCCCTCCTGCAGCGCTTCCCTACAAAAACCCCATTTGAATGCATCGGATGAAGAACGGGCGATCTTATGACTGTCATGGCTACTTCACACACCGTCGCAATTCGGTGGTGATGGTATTCACTCAGTATTCACTTACCGCGATTCGTTCATCCTCGAGGGCTAGTGTGGCTTGGAGCGCATTATTCATCTTGTTGGTGACTTCATCCGAAGCCTTAAAGACGGAATTCCTCGACGTCCACTCTATGAAGGCCTGGTGGGACGCACACATACATGCGAATAGGGAGAGGTGAGGTGGGCAAGGCTGAGACCCGCCAGCATACATAGAAGTTGCACGATCGGGGAGGTCACATCCTTCACCGGCTGGTGCTCCCGGGTTGAATGACTGAATCCTGGGGGGAAATCATATTTGAAGTGGACAAGTAAGCACATCGTGACATGATTGCAGATACATACATGTAGTCTGAGGGAGTAAGAACGCCCAGACATAAAATAGAAAAAATCATTGGGAGTGGGAACAAAAGTCAAAGCGGGGTGAATGCTACAGCAGTAGTCGCAGAGGGAACGTCAACATCATTATGCCACCGATGCCGATCGTACCATCAAGAGAGTTGTTGCCATGCTCGCGCTTGGGGTAGAGCATACTAATAATATTGACAGATCTTTCATATCTTGGTCGATGGCGGTCGAAGAAGATTGAATGAGTATGATGATGGTGTAGAGACTATTATTGGTAAATCACCGTTGTTGGTTCGACAAGCAAGACCGATAATCTAATGCTGCTGATCGCGCTTCGCCCTTCTCTCCCAAACTCAGTTCCTTCGTTTTTGTGCCTGACTTTCGTGAAATTCGTCCAGCTGGGTAGATTCATCCCTTCGCTCAATGAGAAAGGTGCTTGAACAGGTCTACTTCTCTTGCAAATAACTGGAGGCTCAGATTCCAATCGTTCACATAGTTGGTCAAGTCCATGGAGAAGTCTATGGACCTCCATGGAATTCCACAGAAAATTCCATGGAACTTAATGGAATTGACAATACACGGTGTATGGCACCCTCATAATCATTAATTCATATGATATCAAGAACCATCGATCAATCTGGTCAAAAAAGTTGTGGCGGCCGGCACCGTACAATGCTCCAGCACTGCAAGGCTTAAGCCTGGCAGGAGAAGGGTGATTAAACAGATATTGTTTTGTAGCTACATAGAAGATCGTCTCTACAACAATGTAGCTCGCAGATCTTGGCGATATTCACACTTGTTGCAAGTAAGTCACAGAGCAGACATGCTGAAGCGAACGACCGACATATATGTCGATAGAGATGAACGTTGAATCCGTGTATGTTTCGGTGTGAATGCCACTGTGTTCTGACTCAAACATACTTGGGACCAGCAACTACTTCGAATAGACCCTACGGCAGGCAGCGAACATATGATTTACTTCTATGTTCTCTTCTTTCTCTAGATTCGTTGTCGAGAAGGATTTGCAAAAAGAGTAGTGACAGAAACACGGACACCAAATGCCCCGTTAAAATACTGCACTTCAGTCATTAGCCAACCTAGTCTACATACTTTCTCCCAAACGCAGAGGTAGATAATTTTTGTGAAAGACGAACCTCGCAGATTGCGGTACAGATGGACATGCCGACGTTCAAACCCGGTACGCTTGTCGCTATCACTCCAGCTGCGACAGTAGCCACCCCAAGCGCTTTCGCTGTCAGCGGAAAAAGTTGCTTCCAATTGTCGACGGGTCCGGCCTTGATCATCGTCTCTTTGGATTGTCGAGCCATGTCCCATTTTGTCCGGGCCGCTGGACAGCGATGAGGTACAGAACGCACCCGCACATAAAGTTAGCACAGTTGGTTGAGAAAATCAGCCTAAAAATCACTTGACGATAGGGTGGGGGGATGCGTGCGCAAAGAAAAGTCGTCGCCAGTATCTGTGCCGTTGAAAACAATTTGTCAATGGGGAGCTTTGGGACACCCACAAAGCCACGTGTAAAGTAATAGTTCTAGCTAGTCGCGGCAGCTATAAGCTACGTACAGTGATGGTAGCAGCATGTACAAGGGTAGGATGTTTGGGATCCGCAACATGGGACTGTCAGGACCGTCCGGCTGTAATACCGTAGAGATTTTACTTCGTGTGAAGACCCGAGCAGTTCAGCCGAAACGGAGATATGGGGGCCACGTTGAATTTTCTCACTTTGTTGTTTTGAGCTGAGCACCTTGCGTACTCGTCCCTGGTGCTCACTCCTCATCACCATCAAAGCAAAGCTGGTCGTAGGGTCAATATCTCTTCTTTCAGAGACAAACCGAGCTGCAACGGCATTCACTCGAAGTAAGTGTTCTCCTACCTCTGCTTGTAGGCTACATACCAACCTACGGATACAGCTTTGCAGTCACCACTATCTGCAACCGCTTTTCCCAGAGAGTGGCTTTCCATGGAAGGCCATCATCATGGAGGTCCGTTCGTGGATACCCGTGGAATCCGCTGCGGAGTGCCATGGAACCTCCGTGGACCTCCATTATTGGCGACCTCCTCCTTGGCATTCATTCACCGAATGTTCCATGGTTGATACACAAGTAAACAACGCAAAGCACGCACTTTCTACCAGCCCGCCGAATTTTCCGTGCATCTTGTTTTGCCAAGTCGGCCGCCTTTGGAATCCCCTTACCGCTTTTTCTGGCTGTCGCAGTGCTCTAGACGATCGATCGATCGATCGATCGATCGATCGATCGATGTACTTTGTCAAAATATTTGCCAACGCAAGCAAACACGCACGCACAGGAGTCTTGCCGAGGCAACCTACAGACGACATGCATGCATGCATGCATGCATACGAAACATATGATGTCTTGAGCTTGCGAATATATATGTTTAGACCAATGAATATAAAAGACATCCAAAGGGTAACTGGTAACTGCTATGCACATCATTGCAAACGCACAAAGCAGGAATGCATACATGGATACATTCTGACGCTTTAGCTTCAGTCTCATCGTCCGTGTGTGTGTTTAATGGAAGCATCGACCGCGCAAACCGGCTGACCAATAAAAAGACGTCAGAAAACACAAAACACTTCCATCTGCCATGAACTGGGACCCCGTGAGGGGGCAGCATGGGGGCGGCGGGGTGTACTCATAGTCGTGCATGCCGAGAGTCGTTAGACCATTGACCTCGCATCCCTACAAAGCCGGGACGGAGCACGCCGGGTTCTCACCGGACCAGGCTCTCACATCACCAAGCGCGAAGCGCCGTGAGATATTCGGCGAGTCGCATGAAGGGTGCGCTGCATCCTGCTAAGGGTGTTCGGCATCTTGTGCTTACTTCCTTGCGTACGGATGACAGCTGCGTATGAATTAATTTATTTTCTGGTGCTTTCACTTCCAGAGACAGTTGTAAGCACTGTGTAACTGCCTCGAGGGTGCTTGACCATTTTAACACAACGTGGTGCGATCATCCCCCTTGCGCGGAGTGAGGGTTCTCCACCCCGCACAACATGATCTACTCGACCACCATTCATGGTATCCGCCAAAAAAGAAAACAGAAGTGAGAAAAAAGAACCGGTAATGTGGTTGCCGAGTTCATAAAGTGAATTGGCTTGTTCTACAACGTCGTTGCCACGCGACGAAAACCCAATCCCGATAGCAAACACCGAGGGGGGGGCTTGTTTTACAACGTCGTTTCCAAGCGACGAAAACCCAACCCCGATGGCAAACACCGGGGGGGAGGGGGCAGCGTGGGGGAGGCAAAACTAACCTTCGGATCAAACACAGAAACAGCAGTAACAGAAGAAATCTGCACGCGTCTACCAAGGCTATTACCTTGTACTCGAGGTCGTCTAGGAGTACTTTGACTATTATTATTCTCCTTGTTTCGCACCATCATTTTGATCATCTTGACAAGAATCTCTGGGCAGTTCTTCCCTAATCCTACGTTTTTTCTTTTGGTGAAGGTCATCTGGCTCAAACGCTTTGCTCTCTTCCACTCCTCCATCGTCGTCTTCGTCCTCCTTTCTTCCCTTTCTCTTTCCTTCGTCTCCGTCACTCCCAAAAGAATTACCCTCATTACTATCGTTGTCGCAGAGATCCCAACATATTGGCCCTGGTGGAAGTTGGTCGATCAGTAGCCCATGACGTTTGAACACATTGCGAGTTCGCATCGACAGAAAACGAGCTAGCGCGAAGGTAAACCGTCTTTAAATCCTGTTAGTGCGAAAAGCGTTCAGGCGAACCAAGTCACTTTCGTTGTCAAAATTCCTCCGTCAAAAAGCTTCGTGCGTCAAGTGGTTGGCGATAGCAACGATGAGTCGATTNATATTGGCCCTGGTGGAAGTTGGTCGATCAGTAGCCCATGACGTTTGAACACATCGCGAGTTCGCATCGACAGAAAACGAGCTAGCTCGAAGGTAAACCGTCTCCGAATCCTGTTAGTATGAAAAGCTTTCAGGCGAACTAAGGCCCTCTCGTCGTCAAAATTTTCCCGGCAAAAAGCTTCGTGCGCCAAGTGGTTGGCGATAGCAACGATGAGTCGATTGGTGCCTTTGCCAAGACCACCATTCGTTGAAAAAGCAGCAGTAAGGAGGGTAGATCTAGACGGGTTGAAAGTTCNTAGCAGCAGTAACGAGGGTAGGTCTAGACGGGTTGAAAGTTCTCGCATAGTGATTTGCCTTACTTGTAGCTCGATCTTCGAGGGCGGATCCTGGCTTTTGCATCGACTTGTCGATGCTTCGACCTGCGGATGGGTCGACGATTGTTACGTCTATGAGAATGTACTTGGTGCAGTTTTCTCTTTCGCGTGAAATCCTGGGGGGATTTCCAAATCCATCTTGTATAGCCCCTTTCCCCTACCAGTGCCTGTGGTAAAAGGGGAAGAATCCTCAACGGCGATGGGCATATGGCACTCGCGCAGTGTCTTGAGGACCACTCGAACCATCCTGTTATGGAGGAAGGTTGAGGCGCCGGTCTTGGTGCAGACGAGGGAGTGGGCTCGGCTCAAGCGGTCCTTGCATGGNGATGGGCATATGGCACTCGACGCGTGTCTTGAGGACAACGCGAACCATCCTGTTATGGAGGAAGGTCGAGGCGCTGGTCTTGGTGCAGACGAGGGAGTGGGCTCGGCTCAAACGGTCCTTGCGTGGTAACAATGCACCCGCACCACAAAGTTTGCCTGTATCGCAGTCTGCTCGATCGTGACTCCCCAGTACACGACCGATTGACTCTCGACATAGATCAGGCAGCATGCTTTCATCTGCTGACAACCGTTGCGTTGTCAACCTCGACAAAACTCCCTTGTCTTTCGCTTCCTCCAAGTGGATCAATGCCCTCTTCTTTGACATTTCCTCGCCTACTACCTTCTGCAAGTCTGTCTCCACCATGTGACGCACTGCTGCATGACAAGGTTTCGAAAAGAGAGCTTGGGCTCCAAAGACTTGGTAGTGTTGACCAAATTCATTTCGGTTGTTGGTAGACGGTGGTTGATGTTCTACGTCAGGGTTTCCATCTTCACTGGGGTTTCCCGCCTTCCCTGCTTCCAACAGGTAAATTCCTTTGAGGGCGGGGGTGAACTCATCATTTGTGGCAAGTTTAACCCATGACTGCCCAACAGCTTTTTCAAGCTTGTCTGTAATGATGATCTCCTCTACCTTCTTGAGTGAGTCAATCAGAGCCAATCCTGTCGGTAGCTGGGCAAGCCGGGGTAGACATTGCTTAACTTTGTATCCTGTCGATGCTTGCACTCACTTGGAGAACACCAGCGCTTGCCCTGCCACAAAAGCCGATTCTCGAATGAGAACACTGCTCGTAATTCCAAGCCCCCCTTCACGTATGGGCAGGTGCACCTGTGCCCGAGCTGAATCTTTGAAGAAGTCGACCTCACTCTTCTCTGGNGTAATGATGATCTCCTCTACCTTCTTGAGTGAGTCAATCAGAGCCAATCCTGTCGGTAGCTGGGCAAGCCGGGGTAGACATTGCTCAACTGTGTATCCTGTCGATGCTTGCACTGACTTGGAGAACACCAGCGCTTGCCCTGCCACAAAAGCCGATTCTCGAATGAGAACATTGCTCGTAATTCCTAGTCCTCCTTCACGCATGGGTAGGTGCACCTGTGCCCGAGCTGTCCCGTTGAAGAAATCTACGTCCTTGCTCTTCGTCGGGTCTGCGCGCACTTCATTGTCCGTTGGTATTCTCATGCTGTCGGCCATCTTGGCAAGGACGATCTTACTCGTTGCCCACATCATCATGTTGTCATGTTTTCTAGCGGCAGAGTTGGTGATAGACGGTGCAATCGTCCTCAGCAGATGAAACAAACGTGGCACACCAGATAAACGCAGCACATGATGGCTTGAGGGTCGTCAAGCGTTACTAGGCGGAGTATCAATTCCGCCGGGTCACCACGGGCGAATTTGGAAACGAAATTCCTCTGGAACTCTTCTGTCCCTACTGGGATCCCGACAAGTGGCATGCCACCTTCAGCGACTGACAGACCAATTTTCGTCAACTGTTGCTGTTCGTTTGTCAAAAAGGACATGCAAAGACCTTCCGAGAAAAGCACTTTGGATTTCGGGAGACTGAGCTCAATCCCTTTTTGGGAGAGAGGTTCCTGAATCCAATTCGTTACAGTGGATATGGCCTGGAGGTCGTCGACGTATCCGATGAGTTTGACTCCTGGCACAGGTGGATCGTTATTGAACGTTTTCATGATATCAGGGAGTCCTACAACATTGGAGCCGAACCCTCCCAAATCACAGCCTCGTTGAACTCCGCGCTGTGAAAAAACAACCTCGATCGAACCATCTTCCATTTTCAACAG